CTGATGCCAGGACAAAAAGGCACTTGACCTCCATTGAGGCAATGTGCAGAGTGCATCAAGAACAAGCTCATGCACTTCTGTCCACTGACAGAGATCGTTATCAGAAGATGGTGCTCCTTGAAGCCAATAACAAGGACATCTTCTCTGCATTACAGAAGCAGCAAGGTCTGATTGAAGGCCTTACCTCTGTCACCCAGACACTACCAGAGGCCCTGGAGCAGATAGCCTCAACCCAGGCCTCAGAATTCCAGAAGATCAGTCTAATGATTGAAGATCTGAAAGATGCCAAAAAGGGGGAAGAGGACCCTCAACAGACCAGGCCTAGGTCTCACAGAACTCCTACCAGAGCACCCTCCTCTGGTGAGCCTGCAGTAGATCCGACTCCCTACTTTGAGGCTGCCCTACAAAAGAAGAGAGCAGCAGGCATACCTAGACCCCCATCTCCAGTAAAGAAGAGCACCAAGAAGAAGAAAGTTTTCAACTTCACTAAGTGGAGATTGGGTGGCTCTCAGAACATTGACAGAGCTCAATTTGAAGAGATGAAGGCTAAAATGACTCCTACCCAACAACAGCACCTCTATCTGGACAAAGATGGTGTTGTCAGAGTTAGGTATGGAGGATCACTTCAAGAAGCAGAAGAATGGTACAAGAAGAACATTGTCCCAGGAAAGACCATACATGAAGGTGTCCTCAACTATTTGGTCTGTAAGCTTTCTCCAATATGGGCATCTTATCAAAGGTCTGGCAATCTGTTCAAAATCAGAGCTGAAATAAACGAAGAACTGCTCAGGCTTCAAAGACTAGAGGAAGAAGCTCTACAGGCAGCTAATCTGGAGAATGTGTAAGGTTTAAACTCTGTAAAACCTATCTAATAAAATCACATCTCTGCCTTCTTACTTTGAAGTGCTTTTCCTCAAATTCTTGTATTTTTGCCTTCTGCTTGTGTTTGTTTATTTCTGTTATTTTCTGCTATCTGAATGTATCGTACTCTTACTATTTTCCTATGCCAAGTTGCCCACCAAGATTTTAATGGAAGTTTTTAAACTTAATATTTTTTTATGGTGAAGGCACTTCTCTGGAAATAGTTAAAGGGTTTTGGCATCATCAAAAAGGGGGAAATTGTAAGGAATAATTGTAATTAGATTTTGATGATGCTAGATTAATTAGGACTTTAGAGTACCCCTTTAGAAATTATGTATTAGAATTTTCCTTTGTAAAGTTCCTAGAAGTATTCGACTTGACAGAAGACCTTCAAGAGCAGAAGGGTTTCAAGAACAGAAGGACTTCAAGAGCAGAAGTGCCTCTTAAGGCATTATTGAAACAGAGGACCTTTGGTTCTCTGCTCCAGAACAGAAGTCCTCAGGATCTCTGTTAGTCTTGACTCTGACAGAAACCCTTCTGGGTCTCTGTTGGATACTCCCAACAGAAGTGCTCCAGACCTCCTCTGTTCTACTCTCAGACAAAGACGCCAGAAGGTCTGACACTTAGAAGAATTTGAAAGAACCGGGAAGTCAACTAAAAGATTCCTTCAACGACTAGGAGTATGAAACGGAAAAGCTACAGTGCATGCATTAAATGCTCATTTAATGCACCCCATGCTACGTAGAGTAATTGCAGATGATTGGCCGCAATGTCAGGAATACTTTATCCCAAAATAGTAACCCGTCAACTTTATCGGGCTCTACTAGTCAAGTCAACTGATCGCGCATTAAATGCAGTTGTCCTCCTACTCGTCCAACGGGAAGACAACCTCAGTATAAAAGATACACTACGAAGAACAACCGGATAACTTTGCTATAACTTTACCAAGATTACATTGCAACTTTTGCTAACCACAAGCAAGATATTCAAACTCTGAAAAGCAAAAAGCCTCCTTGAGATTCAAACTCATTATCCTCTACAAGAGAAGGCAGAAGTTGGAAAAATACTCTTTCCAACTCAAGCAAAGTTCCAAGTGTTCTTCAACTCTTCAAGCTCATCACATACAAATCTTTTGTAACGAAGCTAGTTGGAGGAACCCCAGTTTCAACAGAAACTCTTCTTGCTACAAGAAGGACGTCCAAATAACTGGAGTAATGAAGTGGTGATACTTCAAGGAAACTCAGTGAAAGGACCAGTGTTAAAGGAAGCCGGGCAGTGCATCCCAGGACACATCTAGGCTTGAAGAAGACGTGGAGTGCTTCTTAAGTACTAGGACTAAGGCTTTGTAAACGGCAGTTTTTACAGCTTAGTGGAACAGTGGATTAGAGGAACGAGTTGTTCCTTGAACCACTATAAAAATCCCTGGTGTCGTTTACTTACTGCTTTTAATACTTGCATTTAGTTAGAACTGTATAACTCCTTGGACTTGGTATCTGTGTTCAGCAGAACTTGTTCTACGAGTTAACAGAATGCCTACTGCCTATTGCTTCTCTGAGGCTAACAGAACTCCCTACCAGAACCCCATCCGCTGCCAATCTGTTCTTTCAACAGAACATGCTATTCTGTAAATCTGGTACTTAGTTTAAAAAGCTAAAAACCAATACAGTCTATTCACCCCCCCTCTAGATTGTATCCAGTATAACCGGGACCAACAACGATTGAGAGTTTCCCATCGTTCTTTCGGTTATCCTCTTAAAATGTTAGTTCACAACTACACATCCCACGTTTTCATATGTTGAAAATGTTATGCATTGTTTTCTTTCTCAACCCCTTTGAATATATCTTTTTCAATAAAATTAACTAAAACATCATTCATCAAAACGACATCCATTCGATTGCGCAATCGATTATTCTTGCAGCGATTTGCAGTTGGACTATTTGAGTAAGAGTTGTGCTGCCCGAACTTTTCTTTTTGGTGTGGCTTTTCAATTTTTGTTTAAGTCACTATTCCAACTTTTAAAATATATACATTGACCCCCACTTTTTTAAAGAATCATTCTTGGTATACACATTTTGGTGTACACCTTTTGTGCACCCTTCTATTTTTGGGGATATTCACAAACGAATTACATTTTTTATGAGTGGAGTCTATGTGCACCAAAAGGGTGTACACCTAATTTTCTTCTTCTTAAAATGGGCGTGTCAATTTAAATTGTTGAAATATTACATATACCTATATGTAGAGAATTATTTCAATGGTGTCAACTTTAAATTTTTAAAAAATTGTATGTACCTATATAGGAAAAAGAAAATTTTCAATGGTGTCAATTGACACCACAACCTAGAGATGGGCATATCGGTTTTCGATTTCATTTTTATCAATTTCGGTTTGGTTGGAAACATGTTGGAAGAATTATTACTAAGCAAAGACGATACTATTTTTTTGTTAGGTTCGGTTCAATTTAGTTAGGGTAGGTTCTATTTGGATTTGTTATTTTTTTTTAATATATGAAGGTTTTATTGATTTTCTTTAACTCAGTTCATTTTTTCCGGGTTTTCTAGGTTTGAATTTGGTTTGGTTTAATACGGTTTGGAAGAAATACTACCAAACTCAAACCAAATTGCATATGGTCTGATTTCGATTCGATTTAGTTTGATTTGAATTTGTACGATTTGGTTAAATAAAACCAATATGCACACCGTACCCCTACCATAGCCCTATAGGTTGCTCCGTCCTTGGGCCTATGTAGGCATCACTATCACCACACATTTGTTAGTGCCGGTCTCCACAAAAAATGTGTGGTGATGGTAAAGTCCACATATGTCATATGACTCCACCAAAGAAGTCATATATATATGGTTTTTTTTTTTAAACCCGGTGAGCAAACCACCAAAATCAGTGGGGCAAATGTCGGGGAACATTTGCCGGATATTATAAAAAATACTCAAAATATATCATACATGAGAGGGAGACTAGACCAAAACCTCTCAGCATAGAAAAAACTTTTCAAAAAAGAGAAAAGTTTAACCAACAATATGAGGAACAAACATAGAATCTAAAATTATTGCACCATTGAGTTCCCTGGGCACTGAATCTCCAATCCTCCAAGAATAACCATCCGACCAGCCCAATTTAGCTACAATCTTTGCAGCCACATTAGCTTGGGCCTGGAAAAAATCCATCTGGGTCACAAATGGAAAACGGCCCATCCAACTAGCGCACCGACTTAAAAGCTCTTCATTTCCGACATCAACCAACACCTGTGGATAATTTAAAGCCTCTACTTTTTCGAGAACATGTCGGAGACTTTCCATTTCCACCTCCGTCGCATCCCATTCTTCTGCTCCATCTCCCACTTCGCCCGCTGAAGAACACTCAAAGGGAAGCCGTCTGCAGCCACCATAGCCCCTGAATGATCGCATAACAGGTATCCAGCCGCCGTCCTTCCAGTTTGTCTAAAGACCGCCCAATTAAGTTTAATCACCGATCCCTCTGGCTTCCTCCAACACACCGACTGGGGCTTCTTCAAATTAAAGGAGCTAGGTAAAAGACCCGAGCCCTTTAGTTTTGTATTTCCCTTCAAATTTTGTTTTGCATAGCACCAACTTAACATATGTTTACAAATACGTTGAATGATTGCATCCCTGTCCGGAGCTACCTCCTTCCAGATCAACTCCCAGTAGCTCTTCCAGAGATGCCAGGTGATGACGCCGGGCAATACGGAAATGTAGGTAGCATCCATAGATTTCCCCCCTCCTCCACTCCACCACTTTAAAAATTGTTGTTTAATTGTATCGACTTTTCGTGTGCCAGGTTTCAGCACTCCTTCAAAAAAGACCCAAATTGACCTTGCCAGTGTACAGTTAAGAAGGATATGATCCTTTTCTCCAGATGAAGCAGAATTAGCCAAAGCTCGTGCTACGCACGATTTCCTTAAAACGTATTTGTTGCCTCCCACGGTGCTAGGAGCGTTGCAACAATCGTTTCCCAGGATACGATGACTACGAACTAATTTTTGAGCACACAAACAAGAGTTCCAGCGAACGAGAACCAAGTATGAACACAGAAGGAATTTTGGGAGTAGCTGGAAGAGTTTTTAGCTCAAGAAAACGTGAGGAAAGTGTTGTGCGTTGTCAAACCGTGTGTTTGTTGCAAAGCACCTGCCAGCTATTTATAGGAGGATTTGTTGTGTGTTAAATGGGGTGTTAATGGACCTGAACGTTGGACATCAATGACCAGTCCGTTGGGCATTGAATCGTCCATAAACTTTCCATTTAACGCAGCATTAAAAGAGAAGAACGTTGGGCATTAATCGTTGTAACGGAAGAAGAGCGCGACAGAAGACCCCAACAGAACACCCCTTGGAGGGTTTCTGTCCGAAGCCAGCAGAACACCTCTTGGAGGGTTTCTGTCCGAAGCCAACAGAACCCCCTTGGAGGGTTTCTGTCCGAAGCCAACAGAACCCCCTTGGAGGGTTTCTCCGTTTCGGGATTTGATCGCCCCCCTGCGCGTAAGAGAGAGCCTTTCCCTTTAGGAATCTTAACTCCTTAAAAGAGGCTTCCCTTTATAAGGGGGTGAAAATCCCTTGAGTTTTTCGGTGTGGGATAAAACACAGTAGAAACTCATCATTTTTCTCAGTTTTTTCATTTCAACGAGTGAACTTCGAGAATCAATTTCTCATTCACCCGTTATCCGTTTTGAGTGTACCACATATCGAATTGTAGCCCTTAACAAGGACAATCTGAAACCACTTTGACCCGACCCAAATCGGAAGTGGACCCCACTCAAATAATTGCCCCAAAATGACCATTTAATGCAATTTTTTATCACATTTTTCCAACAATCCCCCACATGAATCACATGAATGAAAATTGATTTTCAACACTTAAAAGACACGAAGATAGGAGGACACGTTGTGTTCACCGGATGATCCTTGCATACGGAGAGGTAGGTTTTATCATTTGAACCTTCCGTTGTAAAGACACGTTTATTTACTGGATGTCTAGTAGACTCGATGTCCTTGAACTATACTGCCGTCGTGTAAACATTGACTTATCTTTACACAAGAACCTTCCAACTTTGTTTCGTTCTCATGGGTGTGCCCGTTTTGGCCATGGGTCACCGTCTTGGTTCTGCAAGAGTTTCTAAAGAACTGAGCCTTTACAGTTCTCCTTTGAAGCGGCTCTCTTCTCTCTCACATAGGTGATTCTTTCACGAGTATCCCGCATACTCTTCCAATGTTATCGAGTAGATCAACGTTTTAGAATCATTAAAGCAAACGTTTTTGCTAACCTCGTGCGGGAGTCACTGTTTTAACGAGGAGTGGGTAGGAGTCTGGGACCCCCACAGTGACCATCCTTCGCTCTATAATTTAGTTTTCCCTTTTGAACCTATGACCAACTAGGTTGGGTATCCACTATAGAACTTTTCAATTCACGGGCTTTAGTCCCATTCCTCGTGACAACTTCTCCAACAATTCTCTATCCAATTCATTGGTTAGCGGATCCGCTATGTTATCCTTTGACTTCACGTAGTCAACAGTGATAACCCCCGTTGTGAGGAGTTGTTTAATGGTGTTATGTCTACGACGAACGTGTCTAGACTTACCATTGTAGAGATTGCTCTGTGCCCTTCCAATTGCCGCTTGACAATCGCAATGTATGCATATTGGAGGGACATGCTTCTCCCAACTTGGAATATCCTCGAGAAAATGGTGTAGCCATTCAGCCTCTTCAGTGCACTTATCCAAGGCTATTAGCTCAGATTCCATCGTGGATCTAGCTATTAACGTTTGTTTCAAGGATTTCCACGACACGGCTGCACTTCCCAAAGTGAAAACATATCCACTTGTGGACTTAGAGTCCTTTATGTCAGATATCCAACTAGTGTCGTTATACCCTTCAAGTACAGCTGGATATCTTCCATAGTGCAGTCCAAGATTTTGGGTTTTACGTAAATACCTCAAAACCCTTATTATTGCCTTCCAGTGTTCATCACCGGGGTTGCTAGTATATCTACTTAGCTTACTAACCACAAAGGCAATATCAGGCCTGGTACAACTCATTAGATACATCAAGCTTCCAATAATCCTAGCGTATTCTACTTGAGAAATACACTTTCCACGATTTTTGGTAAGTTGTACGTTTTTATCTAATGGAATCCTTGCCTCTTGATAATCATCCTTATTAAATTTCGTAAGGATTTTATCAACGTAATGGGATTGGCTTAGTGTAAGACCGTCAGGTCCTCTAATTATTTTAATCCCAAGGATTAAATCGGCCAGCCCCATATCCTTCATGTCAAATTTAGAATTTAACATGCTTTTGGTAGAATTAATCATTAGATTATTGCTACCCACGATGAGTATATCATCCACGTATAAACATAAAATGACATAGCCGTCTACCGTGCTCTTCACATAGACGCATTTGTCACTTTCATTTATTTTAAACCCATTAATTAACTTGCATGATCGAACTTTTCGTGCCACTGTTTAGGGGCTTGTTTCAATCCATACAATGATTTAATTAATTTACACACTTTCCTTTCTTGGCCTGGAACACGAAAGCTCTCGGGCTGTTCCATATAGATTTCTTCGTCTATATCGCCATTTAGAAAAGCGGTTTTTACGTCCATTTGATGAACTTCCAATTTCCGCAATGCGGCAATTGCTAGTATCATCCTAATGGAATTTATTCTCGTCACAGGAGAATACGTGTCAAAGTAATCATGGCCCTCACGTTGCTTGTATTCCTTGATTACAAGTCTGGCCTTGTACTTATCGATGGAACCGTCAGGTTTCATTTTCCGTTTAAAAATCCACTTGGATCCCAAAGGTTTATTTCCCGGAGGAAGATCAACCAATTCCCATGTGTGATTTTTAAGGATAGAATCCACCTCACTTTTGATGGCTTCTTTCCACATAGGACCTTCAGTAGACGTCACGGCTTCCGTATAAGTCCGTGGCTCATTTTCTACCAAACATGTTAGAAAATCCGGTTCATTTTCTACCATTCATGTTAGAATATCCGAGTCAACTTCTACCAGGTAGGTGAGAAAATCCGGTCCGAAAGATTTTTCAATTCTAGCACGTTTGCTACGTCTGGGTTCGGGTTCTTCTCCGGATCCCTCACTAGTATTTTCCATAGTTACGTCAAATGTTCGTTTTGACGTGCTAGGCCCATCGTTGGACTTGCATGGAAATACATCTTCAAAGAATGAGGCATTCCTTGATTCAATTATTGTGTTTTTATGTACATCCGGATTATTCGAATCGTACACTAAAAACCGATAAGCACTACTATTTTGTGCATATCCAATAAAAATACAATCCACCGTTTTTGGACCTATTTTTATTTTCTTAGGTGTTGGTACAAGAACCTTAGCAAGACACCCCCACACTTTTAAATATTGATAGGAAGGCCGTCTGCCTTTCCACAACTCGTACGGAGTTTTATCATATTTTTTCCGGGGAACCTTATTTAAAAGGTAATTGCTTGTCAAGATTGCTTCGCCCCACATATTTTGTGGCAAGCCCGAACTTACTAGCATCGCGTTCATCATATCTTTCAATGTGCGATTCTTTCGTTCGGCAACACCGTTTGATTGAGGTGAATAGGGTGCGGTACGTTCGTGTACTATACCCACACTAGCGCAAAAGTCACCAATTGGTGCTTCATACTCAGCACCTCGATCACTCCTAACCGTCTTAATCCGTCGATTAAGTTGGTTTTCCACTTCATTCTTATAAAGAATGAATTTATCGATTGCTTCGTGTTTATTTTTTAATAAATAAACGTAGATATAGCGAGTGCTATCGTCGATAAAGGTAATAAAATATTTATTACCGCCACGTGTTTGTATTGATTTAAAATCACAAACGTCACTATGAATTAATTCAAGTGGTTCCGTTTTTCTTTCAACCGATTTGAAAGACGTTTTCGTTAGTTTTGCCTCTACACAAACTTCACATTTGTGCTTCACATCAAATGTGAATTTAAGAATGTGCTCCATGTTAATTAATCTACGTATAGAATTAAAATTAACATGTCCTAGTCTACCATGCCACACATTGGAAGACTCAAGCAAGTAAGCAGAAGGGATTTTATTATTATTATTAATAATAGTCATTACATTGAGCTTAAAAAGCCCATCACATGTATATCCCTTGCCCACATACATTCCCGACTTAGACAAAACCAGTTTGTCCGTCTCAAAAACCATGCGAAAGCCATGCTTGTTCAACAACGAACCGGAAATCAGGTTTTTGCGTATTTCCGGAACAAACAGCACTTGGTTGAGAGTCAGCTCTTTGCCCGAAGTCATCTTCAGGACCACCTTGCTCACACCTTCAACCGCGGAATGAGCCGAGTTACCCATCCACACTTTCTCACCATTTGATGGCTCGAAAGTTGTGAATAACTCCCGGTTTGAGCAAATGTGTCGGGTTGCACCGGTGTCCACAAACCACTCCTTGGAATTGGATCCAACGAGATTGACTTCCGTAACCACAGCCGCTAGGATGATGTCTTCATCCTTTTGCCCACCTTGCATCAAATTGACTTGGGAGTCTTTCTTCTTCCGTGGTGCCTTGCAATCCGAGGACTTGTGTCCATTCTTGTTGCAATTGAAGCATTTTCCATTGAACTTTGTCTTGGAAACGCCTCCCTTGGGACCGAGCTTGCTCTTCCCATTATTCTTGGTTTTGGAGCCTTTTGCATGCTCCACCACGTTTGCCTTGGCGCCATGAAGAATTGGGAGTTTCCCATCGTTCTTCCGGTTATCCTCTTCAATCCGCAGACGGAGGATCAATTGCTCCAAGTTCATTTCCTTTCGCTTATGCTTAAGGTAGTTCTTGAAATCCTTCCAAGCCGGCGGCAATAAATGAATAATTGACGCCACTTGGAATGACTCACTAACCGTCATTCCTTCATCTCGAATTTCGTTGAAGATCATTTGCATCTCCTCAACTTGACTCAAGACCGTCTTCGAATCCACCATTTTAAAATCAAGGAATCGACCAACAACAAATTTCTTTGCGTCGGCATCCTCGCTTTTATATTTGTGGTCCAAAGCATTCCATAGCTCCTTAGCCGTAGCTAATTTGCTATACACGTCGTACAAAGCATCATGCAGCCCGTTCAACACATAGTTTCGGCAAAGGAAGTCAAAATGTTTCTAAGCTTCAACCGCGTTGAAAGATTGCGCATCCACCTCACCCCCGGTTGCTACCGGCGCATCTTCGGTCAAGAATCTAGCAAGACCGAGAGTAGTGAGGTAAAATAGCATCTTTTGCTGCCACCTCTTGAAGTTTAACCCGTTGAATTTCTCGGGTTTCTCCACAGAGTTGCTTGGCACGGTCACCATAGGGATAGCCCTTTGGTTGGCCAAAGCAGATGCACCGCGTTGTGAACTATTGTTCACCGGTGCTCCGCTTTCAGAGTGATTGTCGTTCAGAACATTCTGCCCAGCAGCAATCTCGTTTTCTTGAGAAGTCATTTTCGTTCTTTAACGTTTTTCCGAAAACACAAAAAAATAAGTTCGTTCACCAAAGTGACAAACTACGATTTAAGATTGTTTACCACAGTAGAACAATCAACAAGTACGTTTTAAGATTGTATCCGTATGATACAAGCTCAACAAATACGTTTTAAGATTGTTGGGTGTGTTTCGGAAAATAAAGAAAATTAATTAAAATAAATTAATTAAATAAAATGACTAGAGAAAAACAAGAAAGGAGATGAAGCAGAATTAGCCAAATCTCGTGCTACACACGATTTCCTTAAAACGTATTTGTTGCCTCCCACGGTGCTAGGAGCGTTGCAACAATCGTTTCCCAGGATACGATGACTACGAACTAATGTTTGAGCACACAAACAAGAGTTCCAGCGAACGAGAACCAAGTATGAACACAGAAGGAATTTTGGGAGTACCCGGAAGAGTTTTTAGCTCAAGAAAACGTGAGGAAAGTGTTGTGCGTTGTCAAACTGTGTGTTTGTTGCAAAGCACCTGCCAGCTATTTATAGGAGGATTTGTTGTGTGTTAAATGGGGTGTTAATGGACCTGAACGTTGGACATCAATGACCAGTCCGTTGGGCATTGAATCGTCCATAAACTGTCCATTTAACGCAGCATTAAAAGAGAAGAACGTTGGGCATTAATCGTTGTAACGGAAGAAGAGCGCGACAGAAGACCCCAACAGAACACCCTTTGGAGGGTTTCTGTCCGAAGCCAGCAGAACACCTCTTGGAGGGTTTCTGTCCGAAGCCAGCAGAACACCTCTTGGAGGGTTTCTGTCCGAAGCCAGCAGAACCCCCTTGGAGGGTTTCTGTCCGAAGCCAACAGAACCCCCTTGGAGGGTTTCTGTCTGAGGCCTTCTGTCCGGAGCACTTCTGGGAAAAAATAAACGTTTCGGGAAGAAAACAAAAATTAACCGAGTCACGATTTTTCTTCTCCGTTTCGGGATTTGATCGGCACCCCCCCCCCCCCTGCGCGTAAGAGAGTGCCTTTCCCTTTAGGAATCTTAACTCCTTAAAAGAGGCTTCCCTTTATAAGGGGGTGAAAATCCCTTGAGTTTTTCGGTGTGGGATAAAACACACTAGAAACTCATCATTTTTCCCAGTTTTTTCATTTCAACGAGTGAACTTCGAGAATCAATTTCTCATTCACCCGTTATCCGTTTTGAGTGTACCACATATCGAATTGTAGCCCTTAACAAGGACAATCTGAAACCACTTTGACCCGACCCAAATCGGAAGTGGAACCCACTAAAATAATTGCCCCAAAATGACCATTTAATGCGATTTTTTAACACATTTTTTCAACATTGCACTCCTAAGTATTTTAGGGGTAGTTTAGCTGCCTTCATCTCCATCTTATTCTCAATGTGCATGATCCTTCCAACTGTTGCAGCTTTACCAATGACAAAGCAACTTTTGTCTTTGTTTACTAGCTGCCTCGTGGCCTTTTGATATAGCATAAGAAAGTTATTAAAATGCCCAATAGACCTGTCTGAGCCATTTAAGAAGACCATAAGGTCATCTGCAAAAGCAAGATGCGAGATGCTCTTAACCCTTCCCAAATTGAAAGCCTCCATCTCACCCTTAAGTAACAAAGCATTAATGCATCTAGTAAAAGCTTCAGACATAATAATAAAGAGTAAAGGAGACAGGGGGGTCTCCCTGTTTTACCCCTCGGTAAGGTTGGAAAAACCCAAAAGGATAACTATTTATAAGAACCAAGATATGGGTTGCCCTTAGGTTTCCCATGATCAATCTTCTAATATGACTTCCAAAACCAAATTTATGAAGAATAGCATCCAAAAAATTCCAAGCCACTCTGTCGAATGCCTTAGCCATGTCCAGCTTAATAACCAGATTTGACCCCCGAACCTTCATAAATCCTGATTGTTCAATAGAAATAATTTTGTTTAGGGTAGAAGTCAGCCTTGTTGTCAATATTCTTGTGTTTATTTTACTTAGAAATGTTGACAAGCAAATCGGGCAGAAGTCACCGAAAGAAACAGGGCTCTTCTTCTTCGGTATCAAAACCAAATTCACACTTCCAACTCCTTTAGGCACTGGTATCCCCATAAAGAATTCCTGAACAGCCAGAATTACATCTTGTTTTATAATTTCCCAACAGCCCTTATAAAAACTTCCCCCGAAACCATCTGGCACTGGCGCAGCATTTGCACTTAATCCCCAAACAGCCTCCCTGATCTCAACTTCGGTTGGAAGCTCCACCAAGACATCATTGTCACTATCCTGAAGGATAGTGGGGATATATCGAAGGATATCTTCATAGGAACCAGTAGGCTCAAACCTATATAAATTCTCAAAGAAATGTACTGCCTCCTCCCCAATGCTTTGAGTATTGTAGACCCAATCACCAACTTCCTTCTTGATAGCCCGAATAAATTGTTTTCTGATCTTTGCCTTAACCGAAGCATGAAAGAATTTGGTGTTAGCATCTCCTTCCTTGATCCATTTTATGTTAGCCTTCTGCTTCCAATATACCTCTTTTTGATTTAGCCTTTTAAGAAGTTCAGCTTGTTTTTTATGACAAAGAGCCCTATTCTCCACAGTAGGATTAACTTCAAAATTCTGTTCCGCTAAGGTTGCCTCCTGTTCCAGCCGGTTTGCTTCTTCAAAAATATTCCCAAACTTTTCTTTGTTCCAAATTCTAAGATCTCATTTGAGTGCCTTTAGTTTAGAAGCCATACCTCTCATACCCCCCCCCCCAAACATATGATAGGTCTCCCGTTTTTGGCGCACAAAAGGCAAAAACTCCTCACTAGTGAGCCACATATTCTGGAATCGAAACTGTGAGGGTCCGTGAAGCGAAGCAATATCACACATAAGCAATAAAGGACAGTGATCAGAAGCTGCCTTGCTTAAGTGTTGAATATTACAAGTATCAAAATGATCCAAGAACTCCTGATTGACCAAAAATCTATCAAGTCTTTCCCAAATGCGTCCATTAGACCTAACCCCAGTCCATGTGTAAGTGGAGCCAAGTGTGGGCAATTGCAACAAAGAACACTCATCAATGCAATTCCGGAAATCAGCCATATCCCCAATGAGTGGGCAAGATGGCCCCTTATACTCTCCCAAATTAGATACAATATTGAAATCTCCTCCCAAAACCCATGGAATATGCTCAGCTTGCGCAAAAGTTGTCATCCCCTCCCAGAGTGAGGCTCTCTCCGCTCGCGTATGTTTACCATACACCGGTGAAAAAACAAAGAGAAAATCCAGGGGAATATACCTCAACTTAATCAATAAAAATTGACCCTTATCCACCACTGAAATCACATCAAAGGCCGAATCATTCCACATCACCCAAATCCTATTTGTAGCCGACATAAATAGATTTGAGAAACCAATTTTATTTAAGTAAAATACTCCATTATCCTGACTGACCAAAGGTTCAAGAATAGAAATAAAATTTAAACAATGTTGCCTGATAAATTCACGAAGTCTCGGGCAGGCACAGACAAGACCCCGTACATTCCATGTGAGCAAATTCATAAGGAAACCTCGGAGGAGCCTTCCCTTATGTTCCTCTTTGCCGCCAAACGGGTAGTGACGGATCGAGGAGGAATTTCTTTGAGTTTCTTTCTGTTGACCACCCCTAAAACATCAGCCTGATCACTCTCAATTAAGGCCACTTTTTTTGTTAGCTCTCCACAAACTGACTTCCAAGCAGCCGTAGTAAGCTCCTCCAAATTAATATTGTTGTCCTCCGAACCATATCCTATCTCCCTTTCCTCCAGATCCTTAAAGTCTCCTTCTTCTAAAGAAATAAGTTTCGTGACATCAGTGGATACAGGAACAACCTCCAACCGATCACTCTTCTCTCCATCAATCGACGCCTTCTCAATGATCAACCTCGAGGCAGGTTCATTCTGCAATGTCACCTCGTTCCGTTCCTCTTCATGCCCAGAATCATTCACATTTTGCTCAGGGTGAGCACAGCCATGCTCAGATTCCACTACTTGATCATTTGATTCCACATGTTGATTTGTCACATCCATAACTGGATCCTCCATCGAGTCATGTGCCTCCTCCACCTCCACAGTGCCCTCATTTTTTTGGAGGATTCTGCTTGATCTTTTTCACCTTGAGAGATAACAATCTCCTTTCCTTTTCGCTTGTGCTGTACCTGAATCCACTCCTCAGATTGTTTGGGAGCAGCCAAAAGTTTTATTGGTTTGGATTTGTTATTCTCATTTTTATCACCACCTTGCCTGTTATGATTATCCAAACGTGGCTTCAAGCCACAGACCTCCTTCGAATGTCCCAACCGGTTGCATTTAACACAGTACGAAGGAAGATCCTCGTACGAGACCTGTTGAAATATTTCCTTGTTTCCCTGCAAAATCAAGACCTTCGATGGAATTTCCTGTAGAAGATCCAATACACACCTTTGTTGTTGAAGGTCGGGTGAGATTTGCAGTCGCCGCATCCACTTTGAGTGGCTTGCCAATCATGCCTGCTATAGAGAAAAGGGCCCATTTATCATGGAAGTGCAAAGGCAAGCCATCCAAACTAATCCACACTGGCACTATTGGCGATTCAACGTCCGGCCAGAAATCAGGTGTCCAACGCGTAATCCGCGTTTTAAAACCCCGGATGATCCAAGCCTGCCGGAGCCAACAACGCTAAAAATCCTCCTCCTTCGAGAACTTGAGAAGAACATGGCGATGATAAAGCAAACCCAACGTCACAGATCCATGAAATCCAATCCTCTCAAAATCCGCTCGAATGACAGCCAAAGACGGCCTTCCTCGGACAAAGGATCCCACCAGGGCTAATTTATGTTGATCCGCCAAAGTTGAAATCTCCTCATCAGTGAACTGGATCGTAGGCATTCCTTTATGCCGAAAAGGAATCTTTAAAGGAATTTCTTTGTTCTCCGCCAAAACCTCCGCGAACGATCGTATCACAACCCCCGATCCGTCGCCCGGAGCCCAAGCAGGCTTCAACCCCATCGCAAAAAACCTCCGTCCGCATATATATATATATATATATATATATATATATATATATATATATATATATATATATATATATATATGGTTCTTTAGATTTTTTATCCTTTTCATGACTTGTTTTCTCTTCGGAAGGGAAAATGAATAACTGTTTGTGGGAAACAAAAAAAGCGTTTGTCAAGTTTGACTAGCATTAAGAAAATGATTAAAATGTAAAGTGATAAAATTTCTAAAACTATCAAAAAATAAAGATGATAAAATTTTAAGAGACAGAAGGAGTATAAATATTGAACAAAAGAAAAATAATCCAATATGAACATACAATACACAAAAAGGTTGAATGCTTATTGGGTGTAACAATTAAAATTTGCGTGTGGGAATGGTAAGTGGTGGAAGGAGGTTTAGGATATGAGATGAGAGGTGTTCACAAAGGGGTCCTTATTGTTATGCTTTTACAACCGTAATTAATTAAGTGTGGTTTCAGATAGATTAGTTTCATTTTTGAATCAAGTTAAACTGGATTTGATCATATTTAAAACAACTACAACAAGGTTAAATGATAGGATAACACACATAATATCAGTCAATAATGGATCATATCGGATTTAAACATATCACACTAGACGAGGAAGTCTCAATCCATTTTAATTATATATCCTAATGCTAAATCTTTAATTACTAAGTTCTGTTTAATTTTAGGGTTTATCTATTGGAACAAAGAATGTATCAGAACTTAAATACTAACTGATAGAGTATATGGGCTCGGACCCACGGCCAACACACTCTTGGATACACAACAGCCCAAGCCCGTGACATTACTGGAGGGTCCAACAAATAAGTCCAGTCCAAAATGAAAGGAATGGACTTTCGTTCCGTACAGTCACTTCGGTAGGTGTCACCTCGGTTACAATTCACCTGAATATCAATCGGGATCTACGATCACTGAGCCCGAAGTGCACTCTTGCACCTCAGACATCAGCACTCAGCCAGCTTCAAAGCATCTGACTAGAGCTCATCTAGAAAAGGATACACGTCAAATACTGCAACACCTCAGGGCTCTTGCCCATAGAATAGTCGACACGTGTAGTGCATTTAATGCATCGGCTCATTTTTTGCTACTTTAGATACCCCTCTTGGGGGCAGATGTAAATGTTTAGAATCTCATTAATTGCAATCTCTTTCTCTCGCTAAACTTAGTTTTCTCTTCTCTCTAGCAACACCATTAACGGTTTACCTGGAAAGCTATCACTTATCATTGGTCTCATATTGGACGGAATTAAATCTTAATGTAACACCGCCCCCGAGTATTTGTACTGTACCAAATTATGTATTGAACCTTGAGAAATGTATAAAAGCATTTTTACGAGATTGTAAATTTTTATCATTTCTATTACGTGAATAGTAAAATTCACGTGGGGCCCACACCGAATGTGGGGCCGCCCGATATTATCGGGACCACATATTATATTAATATTGGACTAGATAATATGTATATGGTGATGGATATCCTAATTGGGCCATGGCAATGGCATAGAGTTGACCGGTTGGTCAAACGAGGCCAAATTATCGGTATCAGCAATTTATCAGATAACAGCCCAAAAAGGGATTCCGAAGATTTCTAAATTAAAGTTGGGGAATCATATTGATTCTAAGGTCCAATAAGGATTGGGAACAAGTGTTATATTTTATTCGACCCGATAAAATAAAATATACTTAAAACAGTCCGGAAAATACAACTTTCGGGACTGATTGTACACTCGGGTACACAAAGGGTTAACCTCCCACATAAGTGGGGGCCAAACCACGTCCTTGATCTGGAAAATATCAAGGGGAGCCGCATGGAAGCAAGGAAAATATCAAGCTGATTGGTAAGGAGACCAATCAAACCAACCAAGGGCCCCTCCTCACATTATTTTGGGCTATTGAGACAAAAGTGAGGGGTTCCCTCCACCCACCTCCAATCAGTTCGGCCATCCCACAAGAGAGGTGAGAGAAGCTCTGCAATACTCCATTCCTTTCAGCCATTTACGCACTTGAGCTAAGGAGGAAGAAGGAGGGGAAAAGAGAAGAGGAAAAGTTGGTTTTGGAGAGGAAAACTTGTGTTTAGCAAGGTAAGGACTCCATTAACCTCATTCCGTTTTCTTTAATCATCTTATACGATTATTCAATCATATTGCACACCCTAGGATTGTTCTACACGTTAGGAGGTGTAGAATGAGGGGTTGGAAGGTGGTTCTAAGCCCAAGAATGGACTTAGAAGCCAAAGTGACCGGTTCGCCGGAAGATAACCTTTTTGAGGTTATTTGTATTACTATGGGTTTTATGATGATAAAACCTTGTTAGTAACTTGTCTAAGGTATTCTAGGAACTTTCACGGAGTTGAAAGGGTCGCCGGAGCTGTCGCCGGAGTTCGTTGAAGTTCGCTGGAGTTTCGCCGGAGAGGCTAGAACTTCATAAACTTCATTAAGGTGAGAAGACGGCTTTATGCTTTATAACTTTTGAGTGAGGCATGAGATTACCTAAAGTAATCAAGGATATGTTTTATGAAATGAGTAAAGATAACCAAGTGTTTGCTTATGCCATGATTATACATAAAACATAGTTGAAAAGCATGTTATGTAGGTTTGGTGGTTAAAAGTGTAATGACTTATTACGTGTGATGTTCCAGGGATCCAAAATGGTATTTTTGGATCAAGGACGTCAAGGAGTATATGTGTATAAAATTTCACGTCAATCGGACTCCGTTTGGGTGGTCAAACGGGCGTTGACCGACAAGTCAACTGTCATACCCCACCGGGTATTGACACATACCCGACCGGGTATTTGTTGAAAATTAGCTTTGTGGACTACTGTCTCCTGTACTCGACCGAGTATGGGTTGATACTCGATCGAGTATTGCGTTATGCTCAAAACGGGCAGTTTTGAGCGGGTTAATGTGGTCCGTTCAGGTTGGACCCGCCCACGTTGGTTCCTAAGGTTGGTTATATGACTATAGGGCTAGGTATTGTCCATAGTTGAAGGAACGAAAGGTTAGCCATATCCAGGTTAGGGTTTGGTAAGGATTTAGTTTGGGATTGAGTATCCCCAGGACATTAAATGATCCTGAAACTCGGTTGGGGTTGAGCATCCCCGGGACTATAAATGATCCTGAAACTCGGTTGGGGTTGAGCATCCCCGGGACTATAAATGATCCTGAAACTCGGTTGGGGTTGAGTATCCCCGGGACTGCAAATGATCCTGAAACTCGGTTGGGGTTGAGTATCCCTGGGACGGTAAATGATCCTGAAACTCGGTTGGGGTTGAGTATCCCCGGGATGCGAAATGCTCCCAAAAGTCGGTAGGATATTATGAATGTAGAATGTAGCGGGTGAGCTAGGCATTCGGGAAAAGGGTAAGAAAGGTCAGGTAAGAACTTTATCTCTAAAAGACTCTTTGAATGAAATGACCTACGGGTCGAGTATTTTACAAATATATATATATATATATATATATATATATATATATATATATATATATACACAGTATGTATCATCGGATGAATGAGTCACATATATATATGTATCACCCTATTTTTGGGTCTCGTGTCTGAAACATTAGTTATTCTTCATATAGCCTGCTTGTCACTAGTACTTCTATGGAGTACTGACCCCTCCGGGGGCCCTCACATTTTTCAGGTTGAGGCTAGAGTCCTACTAGCTACCTGCACCTTTGCCTAGGGTGATCCTTCGAGGAGGAAGACGTGGTTCGTGCTTCCATTCGTATTTTTGAAATCTATAAACTGCTCATGGATTTTTGAACAATGTTTTCATTAAAACAGTTGGGGGCCTACGTGCCCGTGTTTGCCACGTGTGGCTAAGTATCAAACATATTATTATTTCCGCATTTGTTTGATTATGATATTGATGTTGATTGTATGTGTTTACTAATCGGTTTGGCAATAGAATCAATAGGACGCCTTGTACAATTCAATAGGGATGAACTGTTGTTGTTCTTATCGGGTTGTACGGCGGTTGTCTACGTGGCTCGGATGTGGTCCGGGGCGTGACACTTAATGTGTTCAAGAGGTGAGATCTAATACAAATAGGTTTTCCCATGAAAAGTGAGAATTGAGAAATGGCTTAAGTCTTTGATAACTTAAAAATGGACATAATAGATAAAAAAAAATATATAGTGACAAAATGCTAACCTTAAATGTGAAATATTTAATACTCCTTCCATCCTTTAAAACTTGGCCAATTTTAACTGACATGAGGATTAATAAAGTGAAAAGTGTGGTTGAGGTTTGTGCAAAGGACATAGAATTAGCTGGAACCACAAATTTTACTTAGAAAGAAAAGTTGCAAAGTTTGTGGGACACCCGAAAAAAGAAAGTAAGCAAAGTAATAAAGGACGTAGAGAGTACTAAAATTGCATATGCGATATGTAAGGGTGTACGCTCAACTTGTTAAAAACTATCACAAAAAGATTTCTACAATTCCTATTTTATTTCAAAAAGTAATACACTTTTATGTTAGCCAAATACACTTTTTCTCCAAAGTGGTGCACATTTATCACTTTATTTTTCAAAAAAGTTCATAATATTTACACTTTTACCATTGAGTTCTATATATATATATATATATATATATATATATATATATATATATATATATATATATATATATATATAGGGTTGGGTTCTAATGAGAACACCCCTTAACGTGAGAACGTGAGAACAAATCTTAATCGTAGATCTTAGTAAATTAATGGACAAAAAAGGAGTAGATCTACGGATATACCATGGAAGTGCAAACACTTTAAAAAAAACATGCTCTCTCTTCTAATTAAACATAGGTTAGATGGACATGATAGTCATTTAAAAAAATCATACGGTTGAGGGGGTTGTCATTTCCCTAAAAGCTAGGTAATAATAAATCTCAAATGATATAAATTTCTTTAGTTTATAAATTGATTTAACTTCTTAAATAATAATCCAATTTTAACAAAAATTATACCAAATTAAATAACTTT